GGAGGTGGGGGGGGGATGGGGGGTCTAGGGAGGCCAACCATCGGGGAAACGTTTCAGGGAAGGATCCCTCAAATGTCGCCCCAAACGAAGTGTTCAGAACTCTTTGTGCCCTGTCCTTCGGACGAGACGCTAAACCGAGATCCCGCTGCCTGCAACCCTGCAGGGGGCAACAAAGCCTTTGCAAGCTGCACTGGATAGAAAACATAAAGACGACTTTGGTTCTGTGCAAAATTAACCAGGCAAGAACGGTCTTGTAATTTTGGCTCCGTTTTTTTTTTTTTACTCTGTACCTCCTCTAGTTTACGGTTGTGCCCCGTTTCTTAGAAAAAGGGAAAAACAATTAACGGCAACCCACACACAGGACAAAGTCATGAGGTCCTCTTGGGCTGAAATAAACAAGGAAACGCACCGTTTTCATTGTTGCGATCCTGGACCAGGTGTTGGTACACGGAATCCGGCACTTCAGACTGGCGGTAGTACCATTTCACACTCATCAGCAGATGGTCCCGTTTACTCTGGGGGAAAAAAATAAAAACATTCAGCACACTTGCAAGCTTTTTCAAATGACTGTTGCACAGCATAGAGCCCAGTATAACCTACAGTCATTGATTAATGTTCCACTAGGCAAATGAAGGCGTCCTTAAGTTCTACATAAAGCACAGTGATAGAAATACAACCGCATCTTCAGTGCATATGACTAATTTTGTTTATATACGCGACTAATTTTATTAACCACACATTTACATAAAACCATCAAAACATCCCAAGAAGCTTTCCATCACCATGTTTGCCTTAACCCTGTCCTGTGTGGAGAACAGCTCTTGGCTGTGGTGTTCTGGAGGGAGTGGGTGACTTAGTACACTGCCACCTGCTGTCACTCTGTGGCATTGCACCCCTGCAAAACCCAGTGTGGAAATTCAAGAGAAGTAACAGTGGGTGGCAGCACTGAGTCAGAGATCAGTGTTACAGGCTAAGGAAAGGAAAACAAATGTTTTCATTCATTCACATGAAATATTTATTATTCCTCCACACAAACCTGGCTGACCATTGAGACGGTTTAAAGAACATTAGGGGAACCACAGCTCTGTATAACAGAGGCAATGGAGCTTTTCTATTACAGCCAGAAATCACTGCTGCCTTCAACATTAACTGTACATCATACCCTTTCAAGCAAAGCTGGCTGTATTTATTGTGCCAAAAAAAGGTATTAATTTCACCCTGGAATGATTCTAGAAACCAAATGCTTTTAAGAGCTACAATACTAGCTTTGCCCACTGCTTTTATGGGACAATATAAAGTTATTCTTAAATTTCTGATATCGGGGGTCCTTTTCCAAGCGCTGCGACCCCAGCTGAGGGAGTGCGCACAGAAAAGAGGGGTCTGGTCCCGAGCCGCTGATCCCCAAGGCCTTGTCTGTGGGCTGTAGCTCACACAAGGAGCGGGGGAGCCCAAGCAGGACGGGGCGGCCTCTTCCTCGACAGCGATAAAACGCGGAGGGAAACGCCAGCACCGAACACACCCGCGCCCGCAAAAATAAACCCCGGTTCTAAAACAACATCGCTACATTGGATAGAAAAAAAAAACAACTGCCTCCGTAAAGGGAGAAGAAAAAAAACGCTTGCACTGACAACGCAGTTTATTCCACTCCCCCTCCCCGTCAATCACTGCTTTCGGACCGCCACACAGCTCCAACCCTCCCAGATCCAAAAAAATGCCCGTCTTGTCCGATTACTGTCAGGGCACACGTCCGCCATCTACCTCCTCGTTAGGGGAAGACTCACGGTCACCCCGCGCACATCAGCCACCGCCACACACCAGGAGCACTGGAAGAGGCTTATTAGCGCAAGATCAACGATTTCAATTTCAAAATTTAAGGTCCCCCCCCCCCAACAGGGGCCTCTAATTAAAAATGATTTTGCTTTCAGTTATTTGGAATTCATATTTGGAGCTAAACCTTCTTAAATAATACAGGGACAGGGTAGCTGCAGCCCTCCATCAGAGGGATTAGAGCTGAACTCTGGCTCAATTAATTTACTGGAAGCCACTGGCTCTCCGCCCCCTCGCCTTCCCCACTGCAGCCGCTGCTGTGTAATTTGCTAGATAAAGTTATTAAAGCACTGGTCTACAGCGCTGTAAAACATGTTAATGGCATATTAACCGCTTGCAATTTTCCTTCTCTCTTCGGCATGATTAAAAAAAAATAAACACGCTATATTTTCATGGCTTTCCCTCTTAATCCAGTGCTTAAGTCCTTGCACTCAAGCAAGCTTCTGGAAGAAAAGAGTGAAACCTGAAAACACCCCAGGCACAAACGGAGACTTTTTTTAACCATAAAAATAAATGAACCTGAAACCCCTGACCTTTCCTTACTAAGTCTAAAAGACTGGAAATGACTGTTTCATTATTAAACCCTAATTATGTTTGCATGTTGCATGGACCAGATCATTGCACAGAATCAAATTATCGAGATAAGTACTCTTAAGCACAAAGGAAGGAGAGAGAGGGAGAAGCAGCAATTCCATTAGAATTACAATGCTGAATTGATTAGTGGCATTCCAAACTACATTAGAGCAGCGAGCACTGCTCGCTTTGATAGAGCTCCTGTCTGCCTCTCTTTCCCCCATCGTTGTTAAATTCTCAAACCGTGTTTTGTTTTTTTTTGAAGATGCTACAGTAACGTAGCAAAAACTCACACTTCACTTCAGAAGGGTGGTGTTTTATCTGTAGCTCGCCTCAATCCGCTTGGCGCAGACCTCCTCAGCTGGACGCAGGCCGTGCGGGGCGCCGAGGCTCTGCCGCGGACAATGGCCGACAGTCTTACCCCCAGCAGATCCCCGAAGGGGGAGACGGCGCTGACACATTCCTCTTTGAGCCGGCGGGCAGCCCCACTTGTAACTACCTCTGCTGAATCGGCCCCCTTCTGTCTCCATTCCCCTGCCTTCTACACACAGTGTGTTAACCTGCCCTCTGCAGAGCCACAGCGCTGTTAAGAGAGCAGCTGCCCAATGAATTGCGAATAAAAACAACAGGCCATTTTGGGGTTTAACACTGAGGGGGGGCCAAGAAAGTACAGAATTGGCAACCTGCCTTTGTGCTGGTTAACAATGTCCCTGGATTCACCTAATAACACAGCCTCCCAGAGCCAAGGACCTTAAGACGGGAATATGGCTGCTATCCCTGACCGGTGCACTGAACTGTCTGCAAAGACAAATTGAAAGCAGCAATCCCATGCACTACTGTGGTGTGTGTCTGATGTGTATATTGTCACTGGAAGGAGAAGCGTTCGATATTTCACAGGCAGATCCCTCCGCGCGCATGTCTTTTCAATATAATCGCTGAAGCATGCCCATCGCGCTGATGACGGCAGATCTGATTTGAACTGAGTAATCCGGCTGCCCCCCCCCCCATCCTTACAACAAGCCATGTGATCTCCAAACTGCTCGTCAAACAAAAGGGGGGTGTTGGGGGGGGGTTCGGGCAGTGCGTGCAGTCAAAACCGAAAAATAAAAACCACAACCAAAGGACCAGCGGTTAAGCAGGGAGCTGCTTGTTCTCAGAAGAAAATGAATGGAAGTTAAGCAAAGCCAGACTTTTTTCCCCCCCAACACATTAACAGGAAACCATTGTTTATTTTTAAATGCTGAACTGAGCTTCTCGCACACTGCTGTAACTTGTATAAAACAGCATGCTGTTTAACAGTGAAGCATGAATAAAATCATGCATTAAAAATTAAATCAGCAATGCAGAAATCTCATGTTTTTAAATACTGAGGGTGGAATAATCGTTTTTAAACCCAGGACGTCAAGAACAGGCTGTGTACTGAGTACAGAAACTCTCCAGAGGGAGTGAAGCAGGAAAGGGAAGAGCATACCAATTTACCAAAACTCTTCTAGAAAACCACCAGTCAACCAAGGCGGCACTTCAAGACCAAGTTACACATCTAGATGCTAAAGCGGTATTTAAAACAAGATCACACACCACTCTTACTAAATGAACATTGCAAAGTACTATGCAAAGTACTTGTAAAGATCACTACAGTATTTAAAACCATTTGGCTGCAGCATTTCAGTATTTAACTGTGAAAAACTGCATACATCTTGGTGAAACTGGTACCTCGTTATCCTAGCCTGTACTTAATTATCCAAGACAAACCCAGGGATTAGCGTGATCTAAACCCATGTAATACAAAAGCAAACAGTGTATAACACGGTAAGGATGGACAGAGAAAACAGGTTCCCCGGCAACCTTATGGAAGACAAATGTTTGAACAAGAGCTTTTCTCTCTTTTTTCCTCAGCACTGCCAGCTAAGAGCTACACTACATCTACTCTGTAAGCAATTCCATATGGATTTTAGCAAACCATGAACCACAGCACAAAGACAGACCTATAAAGAGCACAAACAGCTCAGTGTCAGACCACTTCTGCATTTCACTTCCTAAAATGCAACTCATCCTTGTCCCCTGCCAAGGGAGAATAAAATCTCAAAATTAAAATGCATTATGAATGATCTCCAGCATATACCAACACTCGACGAACTCACAAATGATGGCAGTTGGTCAACTAATTCTCCCGTATTTATCTTTAGCGACGCAGTGTTTTAAACAAGAACTCCCACTCAAATTCAGAAACAAAATCGTTTAAAAAAGGGAAACGACGGCAGCAATGCAAATTTGGATCAAACGGGTTTTTTTTTGCCTCCTGCCTTCTCCTTTTGTAGTAAGAGCTATCAAAAATAAAAGCAAAATCTCTTCAAGGTTATGAGCTTCTGACACACTGCTGACGGGGCTTAAAATAATTGTAAACAACTGTTAATTACAAGGCTTTTTTTTTTGTTCTCTGAAAGCCTCCCCCCTCCCCCCAGCCCCGGCAATACAGAACAAATGGAGTGAGTGGTCACAGATGTTAGCCAGACTCTGACAAGCCCTTTGTGCAGTTTAGCCCATGTCTGTCTCGCTGCTCGCACTATTTAGATATTAAATCGCAGCTCTCTTTGAAGACAATCTGCCCATCTGTCATCCCCAGCTCTGTACTGGGTTTGATGAGCTTTAGCCAGTTCAAAGTAGCGATTTTCACTGTAACGAAACCCGGCATATTTCTAGGATTCTTGTTTTCGTCGTCGCTGAAGCGATCACCGAGTGAGCGAGAGGGGTGGGGGCGGGGGAGGGGTCAGTGCTCCATACGGATCTGCTGGTGCCGGTTCAGACCGAGCCGATTGTCTTTCAGGCCACACGGGCAGGAGAGACGGGGAAGGGGATCGGGGATGCTTTAATTTTCTTTGCAATGCGACACGTTAACAAGCCAGGCTAGATAAACCGCTCAAACAGAAGAGGCAGCCCCCCCCTTCTCCTTGATCCCGTAAATTAGTTTCAATCGAGTTCGAAGCAGGTTTCAGTTTGTTACATCCTGAGCTTCGGAGGGGCCTTTTCGAATGGTCTTTTGAGGGGGTGTCCCCCGCCCTGGTCCTGGAGTCTCAGTGGGTTTCCACTCCCACTCAGATCTCAGCAGCTCCTGTGA